GGTTAGGCCTTATTAGGCCCGGCTCACTTTAATGCTGCGCTTCCATTACAGTTTAGGAACTGGGGTAGTTACTATAGTAACGCAGTGTAGGCGGAGCCGTGACGTCATCTTCAATGAGAGCCCCAGAAAAACAACACAGCCGTTAGCTCTTAGCACTCAGAGCTCACAGCTCTTCATATCTGTTCAGAAACTAGACAAAAGTTAAACAAGTACAAACCACAGACTGCCTGTGTCATGGCGAATACAGTCGCTGGTTTATTTATGTCTGTATAGGCCGTTGTTGTGAATGTGGACGGTCGGAGCATATATAACGTTAGCTTAGCCAAGCTCCATTTAAAGAAAACACGCATTTTAAAAGGGTTGTTCGCCTGCCGTCTGTCTGCAGACTTGTCAAAGCATTAATTCATGGTTTTTACTAACCGGTATCAGTATGTTGTTACTTCGGCATCATTTTGAAACGTGTATTATAATTAAATCACGGTCAAATATGTTCATCTTGTTGTAGTTGTAGCTAGTGATGGAAATTCCGGCTCTTCTTGGTGAGCCGGATCATTTGGCTCGGCTCACCAAGAAGAGCCGGCTCTTTCGGCTCCCAAACGGCTCTTCAGTTTACCACATATTATACCTTTTAATTAAATCAAATGTAGCCCTGTTTTGACTAATTATATGTGTACACATATATCACTTACATTATTCAATACAACCTTTGTACTGAAGTATTCAAAAGTAAAAATTACATGTTTAATATAAATGATTTGCTATGGCCAATTGTTTTCATTGCATTTACAGACCCGTGTAACTCTCTGATACCACCCAATGAATGCATTGACTTGCTTGTAGAACCACGCTACACAAAACAGATAGCAACATCTATAAAAACTATTTAAAAAAAAAGGGGGCTACTGTATCGACCTATATAAAGTATATAAATATAGTTTTTTTTTTCAAAATACCAAAAAGATCCTGCATTTTAGCCATGCTCTATTTGCTCTTTCCAGCGCTGTTTTTGCAGGGGGCTGATTCTGTGAGCTGCAGCTGACCACGCCCCCCTGAAGGAGAAGGGAGCGTGCTCTGAGATCAGCTGCTGGGCTGCCAGAAGAGGGGGAGAAAAAGAGATCTCCGTCCTCCGTGTTTTATTCTTATAGAAGTAAGAAGAGAAGTATTGGGGCAAAAACCCTCCTTTTTACGCAGCGGTCCAGACATAGACATCAAACGGCGACACATATTCAGTTGCCAGTTACTTTGGCATTCGGGCAGGGATATCTAGATACTTTCCAAGGTTTGACATCATGAATTGTGCTACTTTTAAAGCAAGCAACGATGTTTTCAAATCTGTAATCAAAAAGCTCCTCAAAAACACTATCGAAGCAGTTCTTGCCGTTGCTACGTTAGTTCAAACAGTAACAACGGACTACTTTTCTTAGCGGATGCATGTCAATTTAAATCAATACATACAACTATTTTTTAAATCAATAAAATCATTTTCTAAATCCATAAAAGCATTTCAATTAATATTGGGAGTCATGTCGTTACTTTGTTGAGAATGTGGCCATGTAATAAGCGGGATAATGTGCACAGTGCATAATGTGCCTTCAAGCTGATCTAGATCCCTCCGCAAAAAACAAACAAAAAACGGCTCGTTCGCGGGTGAGAGCCGGTTCCCGTCGTTCACTTAAAAGAGCCGGCTCTTGGAGCCGGCTCGTTCGCGACCGACACATCACTAGTTGTAGCCCCCTTGCCAGCGATTCTCTCTCTAGTTTAGCATACTCAGCCCGACTCAGCCTGGTTGTTCCTGGCCCTAGAACCACGATTTTATGGGGCCAGAAAAACTGTGAATTAGGACCCGCTAGCCGGTACTAGGCCAAGTGGAAACGCAACCAAAATCGGGCCCCGCAGTGGAAACGCGCCATAATAGCTTATTGGTTATGAACCATACTTCACTTTAAAATAGGGAACATATTCTTAGATAGAAATACCTAATTTTGAGTTATTTAGACACAATTAACACTTATAGTTTCATGTCTTGTTACATAAGAATAGATCATATTTGTTAAGTGTTATTATGGGAGAATTACTATTATTGTGGTACTACTGCCTTATTAGGCCCATATTGAGCTGAGCATATTAAGACCAAAACTCATGTACAACTTCCTTACTTGCAATAAATAAGCACTAATTAGAGGGTTATTGAGGAAAAACTCTCAACTAATGGCTCATTACTTGTAGAATATGGTCATGTAGAATAAGGCATTAATAAGTGTTTTATAATGACTAATAAAGAGCCAATATACTGCTAATATGCATGTTAATTAACAACTAGTTGATGGTTAATTTGTGTACCTTAATATAAAGTGTTACCGATAATTTTTTGCTTTCTTAAACTGACACTTCGTTGACCTTTACTGACATTTTCAACATCTAAAGTGTATCAACAAAACTGCAATTGCAACTCCTATACATTGGTCACATTTAAAAAAAATTAAAGACATGTCTAACTTGTTTACAGTGCATACTTAAAATCGCACCTTTAGTTCTTAAAGGTGGGGTAGGTAATTTTGGAGAAACCAGTTCGAGTGCGCTAGAATTTGAAAATACACAGCCGGAACAAATCTGCCACTTCCTTACAGAGCCCCTCCTCCAACACACACATGAGTGACCAATGAAGGCACGAGATAAGTTTGTGCACAGATGGAAGGCTGACAGGCAGGTAGGCCATCCAGTTATTTTAGCCGGGCCGGCTAAAATGATTGGTCGTGCTTTTTACAGTACTACTACGGCTTCCACAGATGACATTTTTTTATGGATTTTTTGTCAAAGCACTTAAGATATTCATTGCTATCGGATGTTAACAGCATTCCATGGAATATAACAAAAAGTGTATCTCGAGCCGGTTTCTCAAACTTACCTACCCCACCTTTAAGGTTATCTTACTACAGTGTCATACTCTCCTTTCCCAGCTTTTTGGCAGTCCCTTTATTTTCCAATGTGACAACCCCCCCCCCCCATCTGGCACCAACACAGCCTAAAATAAACCATCAAGTGTTTAAACCATCTCTGTGACTCAGGTCTGACATGAAAATAAAGCCCTCTCTGCAGGCCCCTTTATTCTCTGAAAGCTGACCTTTGGCTGAACGGTATTTCAGCAGTGGTGCATGGTCAGTACAGACCTCATACTTAATAAGAATTATATATCAGCGTAATGTCTAAATGCTGCCATGCTGAGTCTCGCAGCATTGTGGACTCATTATAAAACAGACCGGCCGGTCCAGGCCACTTGTTTTGACAGAAAGAGGTCCACCACAGCACTGGCACAAGTCCTTATTTGCTGCGTCCACCAAGACTAACTACCCTTGACAGTGCCAGGAGTGTGTGTGTGTGTGTGTGTGTGTGTGTGTGTGTGTGTGTGTGTGTGTGTGTGTGTGTGTGTGTGTGTGTGTGTGTGTGTGTGTGTGTGTGTGTGTGTGCGTGCGTGCGTGCGTGCGTGCGTGCGTGCGCACATTAAGTCCGAGGAGAAGCATGCCTAATGTGGGAGAGAAACAGTGAATCCAACATGGCCGCTAGCCAGCGTCAGTGTTCCCTTCTCGGAGAATTAGCCTGTCAATCTGTCCTAATTCCTGAAGACACAGGCTGCCCTTAAAACTCAGGTTGAGTTTAAACTGCATAGACTGACTCTCTCAACTGTTTTCTCAAGATCGGGTGCAGACAGGCAGACCTGGCAGAATGGGTGTCAGGTCAGAGCCGCTGCACAAATACAAGTCCAGGAAGGGTCAAGCTGACATTTAAAAGTCTGCTGTTACACTTCTCATTCAGTTAGTTCTATGAGTGGGTGTTTCCAGGTGAGCATCCAGATAAGTTACTAACAGGCCTGGCTTAGAGAACACATACACAACCAGAGTATGTTGATGGCCTTATAACACAACTTGATATCCTGCCACCACTGTCCATGTACAAAGATTTCTGAGGACTCGCACAACCAACACTAAGAAACATCTTTTGTATTATGAAAAAACATTATGTCACTACAATGACAAATAAGAAATACAGCAACTACTGTCCTAGCAGTTTCTATCGCACTGTAACGACCACAGATAAAGTAAACTCGATCACTTTTACTACCAAAAAAACCATAATATTACTATGAAGGCAAGGTTTAAAAGTTGCAGCAGTTTTGCTCTTGCCTGCACAAAAACCTATATAACAGGAAAGGGAAAACCAAAAAAAAGCATAATATGGCCTCTTTAAAGTTCCCGTTAAAACACAAAGGAAGTGCATCAACAATTGTTAAACAAAACAGAAATGTAGGTTTACGTAATATCATACTATATTACTAGCCCGTTAAATCTGTTGAATAGGTAAGTTAAGTAAGCCTTTCTGCTGGCACCAGATCAGCCCTGTGGTTGACACTGTTAGAGGGCATCAGCGTTTGTGTTCTGCAGCGCGTATATCCGACACCTGTTGGTAGGCCCGATTCACAAGTCTCAACTCAAGCACTCATGTCTGGGTGTGCATGCGTTAAGCTTACTACTGTATGTGTCACTAGAATTACCGCGTCATGGTTGTAAGCCTCCGCAACATAGTGAAGTTGCAGTCTACATAAATGTCTGTCCAAAGTGTCATAGTAAGCATATCTATTACTTTCTATAATAATGTATTTATGCTGTATTTGTTCTTAAATATCTTTTGCTTTTAATCTGTAAAGCACTTTGAATCGCCACGTGCTGAAAAGTGCTATATAAATAAAATTGCCTTGCCTATTACTGAGCTAAATGACCAAAACACTTGTTTTTTTATGTGACCTTGACCATTGACATCCTAATTGTATTCAGTACTTTCCTAAGTCGAAGTTGATGTTTGTGCAAAATTTCTCTCCAGCAATTTTGGGAATATTGCCTTCACCAAAAAGTTATCCCCAATGCAATACTGTTCCAAAGATAATTCCACTGGTGAATTCAGTGTTATGTTCCAAAATTAGAATTCAAAGAAAAGCCACATAGTCCAAGCATGGAATAGACAACCCCTTTATTCAGTTAAACAAAAAATAACAAAAAATACTGTCAATATTAAAAGAAAAGCAAATAAAACTTTAAAAAATGTTCCAATGACAAACAATTATTGAGAGGTGCTGTGTAGAGAAGATTGAGCAAAGTAAAAACCACCTTCAAAAATCACTGAACATTCAAAAGAAAAAATGCTCCTCAAGTGATAACGCTGACATATGGCTGAACCTGAGTCAGCTCGGAGGAGAGCTGTCACCTGCATATGACATCATCAGGAACATCACTGCTTAAGGGCTGAGAATAGAACATAATAATCTAAATAACATCCAAGGTACAGGTCCCTGTTGGGAGTCAAATCAAACAGAAGGAAGAAGAAGAACTGAGAATGGATAATGCAGGATATATTGATGAATATATATTTCTTTTTTGAAATAAATGTGAATGAGGCCAATGGGTGAATGGCTACATACATAGATAGATAATTATTGGCCACTGCATTACACCAGCTAAGCGCGGTGAGACTACTGGAAGCAGAAAGCACTTTGACAGACAGCGAGGAGACACACAGACGTACGAGAGACACACAGCTTGCTGGAAGGTGTGTATTCACGTGAAATTGAAAGGTACAGTGGTGTGTTTTAGGTGCGGTAGAGTAAGATCCTCTCGATGCAGTCCTGGCCGACCAAGCCGCCGTACTGCTGCACCTCTGCCTCGTCGCTGGAGCCTTTACGTTTACGGGAGTAGGCGGCGTACGGCATGACGGCCCGTCTGTAAAGCACCAGAGCTCTGCCCACGTCCTTCAGCACCCGGGGGTCTCCTGAATCACAAACATGAGAATGTAAATAAGAGCAGAGCAGAATCACACCACAACACTGTCTTTATTGTCCCCCTCATTCTTATTAGTTATCCTCTTGAATGATTTGGCAAGGATTCACTATTATTCCAAGAAACTGTTGGAGGAGCAGGAGCATTTTTCTTCCCCTCAAGGCCCTAATTCCCCTACGCCCTAAACCTGGAGCCACGGTGAGTTAGTTGGCCCTTGTTTACGGGGCCTTGCTCCCTACTGGCCTGCCAGACTCAGTGTTTCATTAGGTCCTGTGTCGTGCACTGCCAGGTCCCATCAGACCAGTGAAAACGCTGCTAATATAAGAAGTGTGCATGTTCAGCAGCTAACAATGGACCTCTGGAGAGTCAGACGGAAAAATGGGTTGAGAAGAAAATATGATGCCCCCTCACTCCGACTCTAAAACCGCTGCCTCCAGGAGTGAGAGGTTGACCCAAGCTGCCCACGGCTGGCGCCAGGAGGACATGCAAGAGGTGGCACAGCGGGGAGCATTAACTACAGCTAATATAGAGAAAAATATATACTGCAATTTGTTTGTGAATGTAAATGGGTCCCACTGTGAGCTCTAATCATCTCCCACTCCAGTCAGAATTGAGGAGTCTTTCATTTTCTGTCAGAACTTCTGTCATTCTTAGTGCCCTCTTATAAAGCTTTTATCTTTCTCCTTAGCTATTAGTGAAGCCTCCTCCAAGCATTCTACTTTTACACCAATTGCAAAATGCCTACTATTTTACATTCATACCGTGCCTTCTGAAGAGTAAAACCCCATACTTCGTTCCATCTGTCTGCTATTCTGGCGCAATCCTGAATCTGGCCTTGCTAAGAGGAAGCAGATGAGAATAAACTTCAGGCCAGGCAGTGGATCGGACCCTCGCCAGGCCCATGGCGACACATCAGTCGAACAGGAGCGAGTAAGATTTGGTATTAATAGAGCACAGGGGCCTCCCACTCGCCACTACTGCTCCCCATGACAATACCCATGTGGCTCGCAGCTGACCAACCAGGTGGTACGAGCGATGCAAGCGCCAATATTTCGGCATAATTCCTCAAATATTTGCCTAAATACTGCTTAATCCCACATGATCACCTAATAAACTGGGATAACTGGACAAAAACAGAAAAAGCTGCAAAACTGTGATGTAATGCTGCAAACAAAAGGTCTTTCTCTTTTGCCAGATGTTAAAAGAATCCCCAGTTTACAAAGCAATCTTGGCTATTTATGGGCTGGATGTGATCAGAAAACCAACTTTGCTGCTGTAATCAGTTAAAATGTTTTCATTGATCATAGAAAAGACTTGACACGAGTTGAAAGGCAGTTTTTTTACAGAGAAACATCTGAGAAGCCATCAGTGGAAACGATCACCATGTATCAAGGGCCACCTTTAACCAATCAGATCAACAGAGCCAGTTAGTAAATCAAACTCTTTCAAAACTAGTTGGAAGAGGAGCGGGAAAAAAACACCTTTAATTCCATTCAATGCTCTTCTTTTGATAAAGTAATACTCCAGTTGTAATTTATAACTGATGCTGGTGCAGCATGTACTTCCTTTCGAGGCATTGCTGTTGTTTTAACACTAGAACTGCCAGGGGTCGCTGTATACCTAAAACCGCCAACGGGTCAAATGTACCCGGTATTAGAATGCATTGATTTTCAAGGTACAATGTTCTTTTATTTATCATACTAGAACACAGGGTTAACAGTGAGTTTTGATCGCACAGTGATGAAACTTATACTAATATAATCTGACTCTATAGCAACACGTCATGTTTATGTTTACGTGCAAAATCAATAGCGCGAAAATCAATGCATTTCCTATGTAAAAAATGTATTTTGTGCCTCTGCTGTGACATGTTTCCATGCTTTAATGTTCAAAAAGATCTTTATTTTCCCCTTACTGCCTGTGCTGCATCATCTCCTTTCACCCTCTGTCTGAAACCAGAGCCCAGTCTGCTCTGATTGGTTAGCTGGCCAGCTATGTTGTGATTGGTCAACCGCGAGAATTGTCCTGCCCCTTAGCCTATCACAAACAATATGTTGAAGTGCTCCCCAAGAGTGTGAGTGTTACATAAGGATGACATTATGTTACAGAAGTAAACAAAGGAATCAAATCGATGTGCCATATAACACTACAGGAAAGGGACAACTCCAACAAGCATAAAGGGCCCCTTTAACAGCCACATCTTCGTGAAGTTGCACAAACCTACACCACACAGTATTTCCTCAAAGGACACTAATGTATCACTTAGAGCCTGACAAGACGGATTATCTTGTGATATTGGCAGTATCCAGCTGCAGTGCAAGGTAAAATCAGGACAGCAGCAAAATTCAAATAATCTCATGTGTTTAGGTAGATGTACAGTAAGTGCATTTCCCAACCATTTATGTATCACTATAGCATCTAGCTCAAGCACAGGCACTACCTGAAAAGGAAGCCAGATGAAATAGGAGAGCTGGGAATAAACATAAAGCCCAGAGGCTCCTTAGCTCTCACAACCAGTAAACTATCAAATATATTCATATTTTAACCTTCCCTTTTTTTTCAAACTATCCTGCGGATTCATATTTTATTTATTAGCCTCATTTCCCTGCACAGTAATGCCCTAACCACTGTGTATTTCCCCTTCTCAAAAAACTGCTGAGTTATCCAATTGAAACATGTTTGATATCAACTTTTGTATTAAGAAAATCTGCAGTGTGAGTTTTAATAGATGTAAACATGTTGTGAATCTTCCACATAGGGTTACATTTGGTCCATGAAGAATGAATGTGCCCTGATGGGATTAAAGTGAAAATATGTAAACGTTTGATAGTTCCTTAATAACTTAAGCTGGCTTCAGCGTTGTCCCTCCAAGCTCTCTGGGCCTCCTCATGTTCTTTATCAGTGTGATAGCCCACTTACAGAACAGTTACGCAAAGGTACACTTGTCCACTCGAGCGTGACACTGCTCTGAAGCACCACTGTCCCCTCGCTGAGCAGAATGGGTAGCAGATTTAAGATGCTCTATTAACCCCAACAGTAATACTGAGCAGAAGGCCCTATCTCCCTCTCTTACTCAATCCAAACATCCGCTGCTCACATAAACATCTTTCATTACTTCTCCGCTCACTCCGTCCTCCAGCAGTGCCCCCCCCCCCCCCCCCCTCCTCACTTTGAGCAGCTCCAGACCCCGTTCCTGCTGGGCCCACCGGACGTTCAGTGACACGCCGCTCTGAGGTCGCTGCTCCTCGGGGTCGGGGGTTCAAGGGTCGGGGGGAAGAGGAGTGGTGAGGGTCGGTGAGGGAGTGAGAGGGTCAGAGCCGAGGCTTCAGGCCTTGACACCTCGCCACGCTCCTCTCTATCTTCCCACCCATTCCTACTTTCAAATACTTGCTTAACACCGGACGCCGCTCAAAGGCAGGCCATCAGGGTTATGACCACTTCCTATGACCCAATGTTGCAAATCAAAAACAGGGCTCAGGTTTGAAAGGAGAAAGGCCAAAATGGTGGTGTAGGGTAGAGAGTATTAAGACTGCTCTTTGACCGGAGGACCTGAGTTCAAGCCCCTCTGTTAAAACACATCCTTCCTGCTGACCCTGGAACTCTGAAGATGAACGTGGATTTTGAACTCCAAGAGTCTTCTCCTGGATTAAAAAGGATAATTATTACAATAAAATGAATGAAAGGTTCTTCCCCAGTGGTCAAAGTGCAGCATATCCGAGGGAAGGGCTGCAACTAAGTATTATTTTCATTGTTGGTTATTTTGATGATTCTTTTCTCAAATAACCTTTGGTCTATAAATATCAGAAAATAGTGGAAAAAAAGGTCCATTACAGATTTCTCAAAGACCAAGGAGACTTTTAAAGTATTATTTTGTCAGGGCAAAACAAAAATGTTCAGATAACATGATGGACTAAAGATAAAAGAAGGAAATCACAACATTTGAGAGGAAATCTTTGTTTTAATCGATTATCAGGTAAGTTGACGATTATTATTATGTCAAGTAATCATTGTAGCTCTTATCCAAAGGGGAAATTGAAACTCTCTCAGGTAATGAGTGGGTGCTGTCGGGCTATCACCATCTCCCCGACCTAATGTTTTGGCTTCACTTTTCATGGCTGGAAGCACAGATACTGTACAACTCAGAGGCAATCAGCTTTATTAGAGGAGAACGTGTGTATTCATTTAGACATGAACGAGAAAGAGTTTGAAAGAATATTCTCATTTAAAATGTTTATCTTAATGCAACAAAATATTGTGTGTGTATGTTTCATTGTGTGTGTGTGTGTGTGTGTGTGTGTGTGTGTGTGTGTGTGTGTGGATAGTAGTTCGGCGCCTGCTGGACATACTCAAGGTCCAGGGGGGGACTACTTGTGTCACACATTCTGCATGTGTTTATCCTGCTCCGAGGGCAATGCTCCTACTTCTTCCTCTGCCAAGCAAACACTAGATTATGAGTGTGTGAGAGATAACACATATGGTGTGTAGGATTTGAGTGTGTCTATGTGTGTGTGTGCACATACTGTATGTACATTCGTTAGAGCCTAAATGAGGCCCCGGGGCCCTCGACGTGTCAGCGTGTAATCAATGTTAGCCTGCAGCTCGGACTGAGTTGTGTAAACTTTAGATGAGCTGTCTTTACGCACCTCATTAAGACAGCTTTGGAACCCGGTCACACTTACATCAGAAAACACACCCAGCTCCCCAATCCTGTCCCCCCCCCTCGTCGTGAGGCCTGGAGTTCATGGCACGGCCTCATAACAAGCATTAGTTGGAATAAATTGTGACTTTAATTAAAATGTTTGTGAAACTGTTTTCAGGTTCATATTTGTATTTTGTGCCTCTTCTGTGACAAGTTTCATGCTTTAATTTTCAAAAAGCTCTTTATCTTTCTCATACTGCCCGTGAACTTTTCACCCTCTGTCTGAAACCAGAGTGTTTGAGCACCAGCCACCAGTGTTACACAATGACGTCATCATGTTATGGAAGTATACAATGAGTCAAATCAAGTCGTTCAGGCAGGGGGGGGGAACCCTGAAAAGCATAACAGGGCAGCTTCAAATAAAAAATGTTGGGATGAAGATCAGTTGTTTCCTTATTCTCATTTTTAGATATAACTCACTGTGACATATACATGTTATATGCCCAAAACCTTTTCTTTTAACTTTTAGCATTATTGATGCAGATTTCCAGGTGCCATCCGGGACAACCAGCCTTAAGGTGATTGGTATAAATAATTTATTCTGTTAAATGTGTAATGACAGAACAGAAACAGAGTTAAGATTAGAGTAGATATCTTGAAAGCATAGAGAACCGGCCAGAATACAAAACATCTAAAAAGTTGTATCTTTTAAGTTACTCCCTAAAAGTTAATCCAGTCTGGAATTACCCAGGATTTGCAACGTGTCTTTCTTTAGACCACACATTAATATAATGCCAATAAATAAATAGACTAGCCATCAATGTGCCATGCTGCTAACCTGAGTCTGCATTCTGACCTGGTGACTGACTGACTTTGACTGTCTTTCTGGGGGAGACACAAGCCTCCACGCAGCCACTACAGTCTGGCACCACACAGCTTTGGCAGCAGGCCTGAGAGCTAGCCGTCCAGACAGCCAGCACTGAAATGTAATGACACCATGCTTGGACAGCTAGGCCTGAAATAATGTCCAGACCCGTCCAAGATCAACAGTCCACGCAGGAATGGAGGCACCGCAAGAAACACAAACACTCTCTGGCCACGGTTAAAAAAGGTTAACCTTGTCCTCAGTCATTTGTGCAGGGATTAGTGGTATGATCGACAAGAAAGGGTTGACTAACCACAGCCTAGATTGAAAATGACCAGCCTTAGAGTGGCCTTTTCTCTCCTGGGTGTGGAGCCTTTACCATCACTTGAGTAAACAAGAAAAGCTAGCCTTAAGACTTCTGTTCCGTAAAAAAAAAAAATACAGATCAGAGGCAAAGGGCATCCGTGCCAGTTTACTTTGAAGTTCATCATTTTTACCTTTCTGCATGGCGTCCAGGCCAAGTATGACCTCATTACAACACTCTCCTAAGCCGTCTCCTCCACCTCCCTGTCAGTCTGTCTCTTATTTTATTCTACTTCTCTCTCTTCTAGTGCCAGCATACAAGTACCAGCCTTCCTCCCTTTCTTTTTCTATTTGTATCACGTCTCTCCACTCTCCATCCATGCTTATATTACTCCCTCATATCCTTCATCTATCAATCCAAGACTGCCTGATAAATCGTATTCTTATCTTCTCGTATTTTTCTATTACTTATTCCTATCCATCAGTGTCTCCATTAGATGAATAAGGAAGAGTAAGCAGGAGCTGACAAGCCCCTGGACACTCCATGCAGTCAGGCACGGGAAATATTAACAGTCAATTTGTAGGTATTAGTGAGAAATAACAATCTGGCTTTTTTATATGTATTTTTAATTTATGCGGGGGGATCTTATGATTGATAACTATCTTGTTTAAGATTGATTGAGTGGATTGTCTTTAACACAAAAAGTATTGAGGTAAGAACTGCCCTATCTGTGGTGGAAAAAAAAGATTTGTTCCTTAACAAAATGTAACATTTTTCTGCCATTTTGAAAGCTCATCAATATTGTGATGATTATTAGGATAATATCATGAATCCTAATTATTTTGGCCAGGATACTCGTGAGATGAACTACTATATAAGTCTTAATGCTTGAACCCATGCTCAAATAATTCCCATAACACCGTATTGGTCAAATAAACCATATTTTATTTTTTTATTCTGAAGTTGAGCAGTGTCATGCCCATTAGACTGTCACATACAGTAAGGTGTAAGAATATCTGCTCAGCATGCAGAGCAATTAGAGGCAAATAATTACATGTGTGTTATGTGAGAGCTGCAGGAATTTTACTGCATATTTTCCTAAAAACAGCCAAGAGCACAAACAAGCCGAACCAACACTGGAAAGTTGGCAAAGAGAGATATTAGAAATAAGGAAAAATAAAATGTATCAGTCTTTTTTTGGCATCATATGTATGCAGTAACTCTTCAAAACTCTTCTTTCAAAACTGTCAAACTCACTTACACTCCATTTCTCAGCCAGACGATGGCCGTCTGCCAGTCTACCTTCTGCATGTGGTTTATTTTTGCTAATATCACTATTCAACTAATGGCAACAAGGTCCTTTGGCTCCTTTTCTGAACATGCTGAAAGATCATGTGGAGAAAAGACTGAGAGATCAGAGCCACTGGCCCACCTTCTACCCCTGAACAGTGGCTGCCTTGGAGCAAGCCCACAAGTTCTCAATACACCATCCCAGTGAAACCGGATCAGATGTTAACACATGGTTCAAGGGTTCATCCAGAAGAGCATGTACAAAGAACTGGAGGATCCAAAACCAAGCTTACATTGGCAGGTCAGTATGTTAGAAAAATGCAGTTTTTTTTAAACATTCAATAAGAAGGAATAGTATGAGTATTGTGTTGTTGTACCTGCATCAGGATCCTGGTTGAAACGAGCATAGCGGGAGTTCTCCAGCATGGGTACGCACTGCTCTATTGGAACCCAGGCGTAGGTTTCTGGGCACACGAGGTCTGAAGGCCGGTACTGCCCCTGGGGGGGAAAACATTTGACATAGGATTAAGCCTCCTGCTAAAGCTATGTATTATCATTTTATCAAATCGACAGTTATTATCCACAATGTTGGAAATCCCCATTTGTTTAAAACAGCTTCTCACAGGCAGACTTGTTGGGATTTGTCAGTGGCAGTTTGTAAACACATTATTTAAAGTTGGGTACGGGGCACGTCAGCACGTCAGCAGGTGAAACACAACCCCATTGTGGAACAAGCTTTGTCCTTTTGGTGTTTCGCCCAAATATATTTGCATATGTTCCGATGCAGAGCCTGCTATTTCCGTAGCTTCCTCTTGGATGCTTTCTTACACTGTGTCTCCTGGTCGATATGTGAGACACCCATAAATAAATGTCCCACAAATATGTAAATAAAGACCGAAGGCAGGGTCTCTGCAGATGCGGACACTGCCCCACACTTCTACTGGATAATGTGTGATGATAGAGAGGAATTATGTAGAATATTTCCATGCATATTTCATTTTTTGGGGGGAAATCCTACTTATTCTGCGTGTAACCGCCAGGATAACCTTACATTTAGTTGTTTCCCCTCATAAATTCATCCCTGTAAGCAAGACATCATCTTGGTTTGTGAGTTTTGTTACTTCATTAATTATTACCTTTTTTCCCCTGAATTTGTATAGACATATAAACACAAACACAAAAGTTACCGGCAGTTAAATATATATTGAAAAGTATCCTTTTTTGCAGCCCTGGCAACAGCACTTTCACACTCCGCTAGTGACCCTTCAGGGTTAAAGGTTTGACAAGTTGTAAACTGACCTCAGGGTCAGGACCAGGGTTGAGACCTGGTCCAAGCTGTGCTCTGTTAAAGTTCTTTGTTTGAGTCATGCTTCTCGGTGTCAACATTGTCCGCGATACTGAGCAGCAAATGTAAACACACCAGCATATTGTAGTGTGGGCTTGTGAAATGGGTACAAGTCTGTATTTGACCAAACATTTTGGATGGGGAAAGTAAACCAAGCTGATCAAAAACAGCTGCGGGGCAGAGAGAAAAATGAGTGAGGGGTCGAATGAACAGAAAAGGAGGAGGAAGAGAAAGAGACTCCATTATCAGAGACCTGTGTTCTATCACACGGCACCACCAAACAAACACAAACAAACTGCAGAGATAGCTCTGTAAACAAGCTGGCGCCTGCAACAGCCCGCTGTACCGTCTCAACACACACAATAATATTTATCTAGTTTTAAAACATTCAACTGTAGGACAAAGACTCCAAAATCTCTCCAACACATTTTTTTGTTTACATAACTGAGGTCAAAGAGTGGTGGACGATTAAACTCAGAACAAAAGGAGAAAAAACACGGATGTCATTACGAACTCAAAATAAGCACGACAAAGGAAATACCATCCCTGGCGCTCTGACCACGACCCATCTGTCAGTGGGCCTATATGGAAAATATGCTGCTTGTTTTGACATGCAGGATGGGATGCCAGGAGAATAAACTACTGTAGGCTGCTTTGCGGCTCTGAGAAATAAAAAACAGAATCATTTTGGGGATATACTCAACAGGACTAAACTACAATTCATGCAATGAAGAGTGAAACAAAAGACACGGACATGCTTTAAAGAAATATGATATGGGTTTTGAAATGGGTTTGCATGAGGTACACAGGAGACAGCAGCAGACACGAGTAATGGCACAGAAGCAAAACAATGAACTGCTTTGGGCTGGAGCAGCAAAATGTTTCTTTACCTAAAAAAAGGCAGAACTAAAAATTCAAATGGTTCTTTTGACCTCCCTTGAAATCATATATAACCATCTTCTGTATGCTCTCTTGGTATGCTTTTGCAGAACACCAATGTAAAACGACTGTTTCGCGCTGCAGTACATTCCTTTTCTTCTGTGCCGGTACCGCTGTCCGTTTCTCAAAACTTTGGGCGTGCCGACCACCATCTACTGATTTGAAATGCACTCACTATGGATCCTTATACAAACCCCTTCAAAACATCCGAACTATCCCTTTAAGTGCTTCAGCTAACAGATGGATGGCGGTGGAATGCTATGCATCTGTAGCAGCGATGGACACACACATTGATCGGATGCTCTCCATGTCCCGACAACCTACAGCCTTCTGCAACTGTCAGCGCAGTCAGCCTGACACTCTCACACTCTGCCTCACCTCTATAGGCTCCTTCAACAGCAGAGGGACACACCTATATATGCAGAACACACCTGCTGAGCGGCAGAGACACACATACTTATCGCTATGGGTTTGCACCCTGACATTGCACTCCAACCCTACACCGGTAGCATATAGGGATGGGAGAGGCAGAGCAGGAAACAGAGTAGCAAGAACGTAAAGAGAAAGGCATGTAGAAGATGAATACAAACATGCAATGGCACACTCTTTGGGTGGATTCCTGATTTCTGAAGGCCTCTTTTTTGCATTTACAGTCTAAAATGGTATAAACAGTCCTTCAACAGAAAGATATCTTTCTAACCAACACGAGAGACATGGGGTGTTTCTCAATCTCGAGTACGCTTGCTTGGTAGCACATGTCTTCCGAGCATCTTGCTTCAGAAGCGAGGCAAGAATACTTCCTAGCATTTGGAAAACGAAGAGTGGAACAGGCGAGCAAGTGTGCAGGTGTGCGTCATATGAGAGGCCCCGCCTTACATTTTCCGCCACAGATTTGGGGAAATTGGTCCGTGCGCAAAGCATTGTGGGGATTTTAAGACCGCAGAGTCTACACATGTTCAGCCTCGAAATGTCTCCAAACGAAGTACGCCGGGCTCGGTAGAATTCCAAGTATGCTGGACATTGGAACTTCGGCGGCACTCGATGACGTAGTATGCTTGAAATAGTGGCTCTGCAGCAGCTTTACTCGAGATTGAGAAACACCCACAGTCTAGTCATGGCACAGGGACAATTCCTCAATTCTTCCCCTGGAAAGAATAAAGGATAAAGAGTATGAGAGGACACTGCTATTAGTGGTCTGGACAGGGGACAGAGAAAAGAAGAAAGAAAGATCTGTCAGCTTTCTTTTCTTTATTGGCCTGAAAGTGTAGACTCAGCTCACCACTGTCTGTCTTTATCTTCCCTCTTATTTTCTTTCTTTCCCAGGTTGGCTTGAAAGGCCCTGTAATTCACAGCTACCCCTTTGGCTCTTCTTCAGCCGAATGTGTTCTGCCTTTGTGTCAGCCTGCTCACAATAACCATCACTATATCTCACAGTTACTTATAGCAACAGAAGAAGCCGTAATAGTTTCCTGAAAAGTTACATTGTTGAGAGAGAAGACTGCTGGGATTAAAATGGCCTTTTCCTAAAAATCTATGTTCCAAGAAGTGATAGGGACTGCACGTGAATGGCCTGAAAGTTACGCGATATGTTTTTTTCAGGTAATGATCAGGATGTTGTCTTTCCAGATGAAAAACATATTATTTTGGTTTGGTCCTTCTATCTTCCCCGTTTCGAAAAGCCAAAAGCCTCCCCCATAAACCAATCCGTCACCATCCCTCCATCGTTCCCTTCTCTCTGCACTTGCATGTTCAGACGGATACGAGGTGACGCCGATGACTGACAATCTTTGAAAGGCTCGTTAAGCGAGGCGGAAAGCGAGATGGGGGATGAAAAAAAAACAAGTGGAGAAAGAGGGAAACATGTATAAACCTTGGCGGGTAGACTTGGCTGCCGTCATAGGTGTGATAAATGAGAGGGAGATAGGAAAGAGACGGGGAGGGACAAGAGAAAATTAGGTGCAGATGGGTAATGGGACGTTCGCTGGATGGAACTGATAGGAGCAGTCTGAGTGCCAGTATGGAGGGAACCGCCAATGTTGGAAGCTTTGGATGAAAAGGGAGGACTTGGAAAAAAAGGGGGAGAAGAGCTAAATACATAGAGGGGTGACATGGGAAAAGTAGGTATAAAACAAAATGGAGATGAGACATACATTTAAATCTATTGTTTGTAGTGTGATAAAGGGGCCCTATGACGCTCATTTTCAGGTTAGATATTTGTATTTAGTTCCTCTACTGTGACATGTTTAAATGCTTTAATGTTCAAAAAGCTCTTTATTTTTCTCATCCTGCCTGTGCTGCAGCACCTCTTTTCACCCTCTGTCTGAAACCAGAGCCCAGTCAGCTCCGATTGGTTAGCTGGCAGGCTCTGTGGTGATTGATCAATAGCTTAGTGATGTCCCGCCCCTAGAACATCACATACAATGTGTTGGAGCGCTAGCCAATAGAAGCACGAGTGTTACGTAGTGAGGTCAATATGTTACGGAAGTAAGCAAAGGAGTCCAATGGTGGCAATTCAGGCAAGGGGTGGGGGGGGGGGGGGGGGAGACAACTTTGGGATTTAAGCCTTTGCAGACCATTTACATGCACAAAAACCTATATAACTCACTACAGGAGAGGGGAAACCCAAAACGCACAATAGGGCCTCTTTATCATGCGGAGGTTGACGATTTTCTACAGTGCAAGTTTCGCAATGAACTGAACTTTAACGTAGCAGAGGGGGAAATTACACAACCTCATTTGAATAATGAGTCGCTCCAGGATAAACATTACACAACCTCAATCATCACAAGTAAATAAACACATAACTCCACCGGGCTTGACATGCAGTTGCACAATACTCCAGATCTATTATCACTCCCCCCTCTGTGACACAGCATCACTCATTCTTTTCAGGCCACACAGACTCTACACACACATTGAGATAGCAGGGGCCCGGCTGTCATGAGTGAACTTTATTACCAACTCAATGACTAACGAATAACTGTCACCTTGTTCCTCTCCTTCATTGTGCACCCTTTCCCTTGTCTAGTTTTCTCACACACCTCAAAAAAAGAGAGCGATGCCCCAGACCAGTACCTGTGATTTATTTGAAAAGCAATTAATCAGACACATAAATCCAGGGCCTAGCTGCGGCCGAGGAATCCTCGTGAAAACCTACTAAGCTTTTGCCTTCTGCTCCTTTTCTTCCTCCTTGCAGTGAGTTTGGTATGTGAAG